GGAATGTTTTTCTCTGTAAAATAATCTTGGACAGTATTAAAAACAGATTTACTTTTAGTATCTACAATCAAGCTTCTTGCAAAAAGTATCTTGTGACTACTTTTTCCTACCTTTCCAAACTGGATCTACGCCTACAGTAAAGCTTACATTGAATGGCAAGATTGATTCCTCAACTTGAAGGAAAAATTCGTTGGATATCAAAAGTTTGCTTAAAGAAGCTTCAACATCTTTGGCCATCTCACCATTTCGTAACCCGCACTGTATCGTTTCTTAATGGGATATTTCGGCTGGATGGCGGATGGGATGGCTGGATGGCATAAAACTGTTTCTAAAACTTGACAACCGGCAGTATCAGCTCTGATCCGATAGTATGAACCTTCCAAGAATTAGCAATAAATTTTGATATATTATAAGAGGCTATCAAACCATCGTCGCATTTTTGTGATGAGATTGCTAGCAACCCGGAGACCGAAGGTGCTTTCAGAAGCTTGTCTTTGATGTTCGCGAAAAATGACAAATCTTTATTTTGTTTGTCAGGATGAGTTTTTTGCAAATGCTCCTGCTAGCGGAAGGATTTAATTGTCTCATTAGGTAAAACTTTGTTACAAAGTAAACACATGGGCAGTTGAGAGTTCAACAGCGATTGAACAAATCCAAACTTCAAGTGCGTGGCACGGTATTGATGGTACTTCTTTTTGTTAACCGACATTGTTGGTGGCAGCAAAGTACAAACGATGAAGGAAAATCAATTATTTCTCCAAATTAATAAATAATTTATGGTAAGGAACTAATTCGCGCATATACCTGGCCAAATAAACAATGAGATCGAATCGAAACTAGGGAAAAAACTATAAGGAAGGTAACGAAAATCATCACAAGAAACACGAGTCAAATCAAACATTCATACCGAAAGCTCTTGCTCTTCAATTTCCGTCAAATGACTTGAATGAGTCAGAGCCATTCGCGAAATAGCTATGATGAATCAGAGGCAAAAACTACAGACTCATGAGCTGCGCTGTGCTGGTTCGGAACGGAGAAAGGGTGTCGTATAAGTTCGTTTTATCGGGGGTACAAAAGATGTAATAATCTTAGTTTATTTTGTTAGTTTAATCTTAATTTTCCTTTAAAATTAATTTTAGATTAATTTTAATTATTATGTAAATTTACTTTAGTAATTTTATTTGAAAGTTTTAAAATTAAATTTGAATGACAAAAGTGATCATCGCCCCCCTACCGCCCAAAACATACCTANACCCCCAAAACATACCCAACGCCCCCCTAACGCCCAAAACAAGTTCACCGCCCCCTTAGCATACTCCCAACACCCCCAGGGGGGCGGTATCGCCCCCGTTGAGAAACAATGATTTACTTCAATGTATAACTGTCAGCAAGGTTGGATTTATTCTTACACTATACCCCTAATACCTAGCAACAAATGAATAGAAAGTCCGTATTAAAGTAACCATCTATTGTATTCTTATTTTCTTAACTGAAACTGGTGAAACATTTCTTAAAAATAAATTTCTTTCCTTTTCAGTACCTTTTCTTTCTGCAATTGAGGGAAGGAATTAGAAACAACATGTATCCGTTTAAACGAGGAAATTTAAACATCAATTTAACATACAATGATTTCGTTCCGTTAAATTTTATTCGTATTAGCGGGTTATCCGATATGCAATTAAGTGGGAACGACTGTACCATAAGGGGCTGCTGCGGGAATGTTTTTATATTAATATACTTGTGGTCAATCCTTTTCAGGAATCTTCCTCGTTCCATCCTCATTGGTATTCCACTGGTGACTGTCTGTTACGTATTGACCAACATATCCTATCTGACCGTTCTATCTCCATCAGAACTACTCGCTTCTGAGGCTGTTGCTGTGGTAAGTCAACACCAAATAAGCACTTGAAGAATAAGACACTAATACTAAACTGGTGTATATTATATATATATATATATACTAGTTGAAAAACATTCATTATAAGCAAGTTAAGTACTACATAAAATTCACATTTCAGTATTTTGCGTTTAGTATAAAGGCAGGCGTAAAATGTGAATTTTTTGAAAATTGTTCTTCGATTTTGAACCATAGAGAAAACATGGAAAATAATAAAGATTAATGTAAAGAAAGGAAGAAAAATTATTAAAATAAAATATTTTAAAAAAGATTTATAAAAAAATTATATATTTAAAAGCTCGAAAATGAAAAGATATAATCTCTTCGTCAACTCACATGATTACATCCGCAAAGAGGAGTGCTTTCTAATATTCTATCAATATATTAAAACAATGTGAGGAGCACTCAAAAAATTGAAACAAAATAGAACACATTTAGTAAATAATATATTACGCGTAAAAAAAAAAAAAAACACAAAACGAAATCTATAAAGCGAGTTGCGAATTCAAATGAACTCTCATGTACCGGGAATCTTTCAAGAATGATTTAAAATGTTTTCGTAATAAGATTGCCAGTGCCAGATTACAAAATATGAAAAGCGCAAATGGAGTTAAAAGCGTAAATAGAGGGTTTTGTTTTATGGCGCATTCTTATTGTAGTACTGAAGCGCGTTTGGTTTGTTAGTTACTTAACATTGGCCCGAAAATGGATGTGAGCAAGGTGATTATATTATACTGTATAGTTTAAAGAAATTAATATTTAAAGGTTGATGTTTAATTATACAATTTTACTGATTTTAGAAAATTAACATTTATTTGAAAAAGAGAGAGAACTCTGATCATGGGAATTTTCCGTGTCCCCCTCCCATATAATAAAAAATGGGTCGGCTGTTCAACGACGGTTATAAAATAAAGTATAAACTATTAAAAAAAATTTATGAAACTATAAATAGAAAATTTAAGTGGGGTCTACTGCTTAGAACAAAGGTGAATATGACAATACCAAAAATGCATTTTCATTTAACTAATTATCTTCATTTTGTTGATTTTTTAGGGCTTTGCAAATCGTATGTTAGGACCAGTGTCCTTCATCATTCCTATATTAGTAGCTGCATCTGCGTATGGAGCATCGAACGGAACTGCACTCATCGCCTCAAGGTAAAGATTGTCCGAAATACTTCTCTTTTTCAAAAACGTATGCAAATAAATGCTTAGGGTCAAAGAGGGACGATCTGAAGTGTGGATCATCCACCGAACGACTCAAGACACTAAAACTTTATTACATTTATTTTTGCTATAAAATTGAGTTTTTTAACAGATAAATATTAGGCTGAAACAATATATTTTAAAAAATATGTTTGAATATTAGTTTATTAAATTGTATACTTAGTTGGAAATAAATTTGTTACCTTGTGCGCTTATGTTTACTGAAATAAAAATGAATTTAATATATGGATATTTATAAAATATATATTTTTCAGTTTCTTTTATTTAAAAAATAAAATGCATCCATGCATATATGTGGGAGTCATAGCAGCATTAGATGAAATAACGACGATAATTTGACAAAGATAACAATTTAATAGAAACAAAAGGATATAACAGTTAACATTGACATGTCTGGTGAGAGCTGCCTTCGCGCAGTATCGACCAAATGCATGTGAATAAGAAATTAAATTGTTCTATGGCAGTGTTTCCCAAAGTGTGGTACGCGTACCCCCAGGGGTGCGGGAACAGTTCAGCTGGGATACGCGTTCTTATGCGAAATATCTTGTAACTAACGAAAAT